CCTCTAATTAAAAGTCTCATTAGTAATTGAAATCGTTAATTGAAAGTCCCATTATAAGTGTCAAATAGTACCGATCAATTGGCGGGCAAATAAACTTTTTCACGGTACGGTGGTAAACTGTTCTCATTAGAAGCGATAGACACGCACATATTTTTTTGCCAATACCAAAACACATAAGAATTTTTAGCGTTTTCCAAATTGCCGAGTTGTCGTGTTTAAAATAATTAGCAATAATCAAATGCATATCAAATGTATATCGCGTCAAATTATAAAACATTTCCGACGAAGATAGCGAACATTTATTTTTTCCGAACACTTACGGGGAAAGAAACGATGAGTTGTCTATTAATTAGAATCACGTGTCATTATTAATTATGACGAATCTACATTAAGCTTCGTTGTAAAATATCGTCTATTGAAAATCTATATATAATACAGCATAAACGTGCATTAAATTAATTGCAAGTCAAAATTTCGTTTTAATTTCGAATTTCGAATAAGAAGACTTAGTAGGATTATAATTCAACGAGAAATAATTAATTTTCCGCACGAGGGATAAAATCGCTGAGCCAGACGTGTCTCCGACAGATTTTCGTACAGTTGCTCGTCGTATTAAGAGTTGTTTTAAAGACAACCATGTAACGAACTCTCGAGTTTGCGTTCTAGGAAATCACGAAGAGTACCTCAGATCGTAATTTATAACGTGGAACGCAATCGCTTTATTTCGGCTTGACTGAATTTGCCGCTTCCAACTCGTTCGTCTGCTAGACAGTTATGTTTACGCGCGGCGAAACTTACAAAACTTAACTGAATTAACTAGTTAACAAGTAGATTATGCACACGACATTTAGCTGCCAACTTCGGGAGCCAGACAGACTTACAGTTTTCCGTATCAAAGTACGAAGTAACCCGCGGTATTTGCCGTAAATTGGAAGCGAAGCTATGCGTCCTGTTATGCCTGTCTAAGAGCACAGCAATGTCTGATTAATTTCGCATTAACCTCTGCCGTCAGTATGTTCTAATTGAATCCATGATATAGCAAACCGTGTACTTTGTTGCACGCGCATTAGCTCTAAAATTTACTCGTTAGCTATTGTATACACTCTGAAATGTTGAATGTGTTTTATGTTGTATATTTGTTTAAAGATACCAAAGTATATGATGCTCTTATCTTCTCTCTTGTATCCTAGAAGAGACGTCTTACTTAAAGAACAGTTTTTTGTAACTTTTCAACTTAAATATTCGAAAAAATATCGCTCAAAATGAAAAAAAAAAATGAAATTCTTAACTGCCATTCGACGAGATATATTCTCGTTTCGTGTAAAGGATGTGCATATACCACGCACACATATGTGATCACCAAAAATGTAATTTATTTTACGGATATATTTAATCGTCACAGTCACACATATCACGTTTTATAACATAGAGATAGCGGTATAAAATCAATGCTTCGCAATTGCCAATACCAATTTGCGAATTATTATCGATATAAAGTGGCAGAAGAAATCCTCGCTCTTTTTGTAATGTATTATTCATAAAAATCGAGAATAATTTCTGAGAAATATTTGTAACATAAAAGGTCGCTCATTTTATGCGTTCTATCTTGTAATAATTAAAAAGTATATGTACATTTATCTTAAAAAATAATTTATATAAGTAATATGAAATTTTCAGCCTGTTCCCTTCAATTTAGTTTAACATTAATATTAATAATTCATTAAATAATGTTTTGTGTGTATTATATAAAATATTGGAATCAATTTTCTTCCATAAACTTTTTTCCATAACATATATGGTATATCAGGAAAATTTTATGTAAACCGTTATTATTAATTATTATTAAAAAGATCTTTTAACGGTCGACAACTTCAAGTCGTACGATTAAAGTATTTATGATCCAACATATGCTTTTTTTTAACGCAATCATTCACATTTAGGTGATATTGGAACTGTATTGGCGAATAAAACAATGCTCCAAAGAAACAATGAAATGACCTGTTTTTATATTTTATTCATATCCCGCCGCGTGCTGCACAATAGTTGCTATTATTCATATTAGCATGTCGCATAAAAGCGGTTTGTTCGCTTTGTGGTTGCCGCTGCATGCGTAATTTTCACGATAAATATATGCGACGTGAAATTTTTGGTTTTACCAAACGTTAATATATAGCTTTGCCAAAAATCAAACGGGCCTGCAATCAAATATACTTGTTTACACGGCGAACCGCAAAACGCGTTGACTGTTCCTAATTTGTCGAACTTCAAAGAGTTAATTGCGCGCTCCCCATATAATTACGTTATATTATATTAATTTCTTTATTTCAGTGCCAGTTTTTCGGTATTTCCACCGCGAGCACGAATCGATATCTCAAACATTATCGTGTTATTTAATTTTTAGCTTAATTAATTTTATAATGCGGCACCGTTTTTGCAAATATAAATAATTGTGTATCCACGAAACACGCTACTACGAGTGGTGTTTAAACAGAGAAATTGAAACCGTTTCGTCTTTTTTTGCATGCAATAAATATACAGGCCTGCATATGCACAACATATAATATGCTCCACAGACATTTCGCACGTACAATTTAATAATTCATATAATTTTTATATTAACTTTTCAAACATCACGCGCTCCAAATTATTAACACTTATATCGACGGAGTTATCAAATAAATTAGACGGTAAAAAATAAATATCTCACAAACATACTACAATGTTTTCGTTTTATGATATGTAAGGGTCAACGTTCGTAATGCGCGGAAGCTGAAAGCAATTTTACTTAAATATTTCTTTTGACGTTCCCATCGAACGTGAAGACCGTTTCGGAGAAAAAATCGAATCACACGGCGCGTCGACTCGCGCGCGCGCACGCGAGAATCGATTCGAAAAGAGCAAGTGACTGCGTTCGGGCAATTTTCCGGACGTTCACGGCGCAAAAGCCGCGTGTGCATGTCATGCACAGCGGAAAATGTATAGAACGTGTCGTCATAGAACGAACGGTATTGACGAAATAAGCGGACAGGTGCGGACGACTGGCTGATAACCCAATGGCCTAGATACCTTCGGTGATATTGATTAACCATCGATTGGTCCGTAGCCGCAACCGGCAAATGCGTCGTCACCTTGCATCTTCCCACCTCCCTTTACCCTACCCTCTATCCCTTTGCCTTGCCGTCGTGTTCCTTGTTCTCTGATATCCGAATTACGCAATTTTATTCTCTTGTACTCACTCACCTTCCTCGTCCTCCTCGCAGGACCGTCTGCATCCCGCCAATGTTCCTTTTCCCTGTTTCTCTTCACGATGAAATTGGATTTATGGCTTTATTTTCCCCCTTTGCGGATAGTGTCCATCAGCAGATTGCTCGCCGAAAGCGTCGTATTACAGGGAAATAATGGAGTGCCGTCCAGAGCGGCGTGGGTCGAAATGTTTAGAGAGGTTTTAAGCGCAGCGTGATCGGGAAATCCTGAAAACGCAGAGTGCCTCGTAATAATTACTTCGGCAGCTGCTAAGAGAGCCTGTGCGTCTTGTTGAAAACTCAAGTAATTTTTTTTCTATAGGGAATTCAATATGAATGCCGTTTTCATACAGTTACCCGGAAAAAAATTTCATATAATCACACTGCAGAAGATTTTATATAATATCTACTGTAAATTTTATCGACAGCTTTCTAGCAGAATTATAATAGGATTTGCTAACAGACTAATATTTACTTAATCTAAATAAAATAATTATTCCAATATTCCTTAGCAAATATTTACTTGAATGTAGCACTTTTTTCTTTCAGTGTATATATAATCATATATAACCATATAAAATTATATAGAAATATCCTTAATAGCACAATTCATTGGCGATATATTGGTTCAATATTGATTATATTGATATTTATTGGACATACATTGAACGAATGTTGTTCAATATAATATCAGCCAGACAGCTAAACCTGCAGAAGCAGATTTTGCACAGTATTTGCTATAAACTTTGTCGATAACTTGCTAGTAGAAATATAATAGGATTTGCTAACAGAACATGATAATTAATCTGTTATCATGCTGTGCTAGTAAATTCTGTTATAATTCTGCTAGAAAGCTGTCGACAAAATTTTTAGCAGATACTACATAAAATCTGCTTTTGTAGGTTTAGTTGTCTGGCTGGCTTTACATTAAACAACATTCATTTAATACACCCCCAATGAATATTAATATAACCAATATTGGCCCAATATATCGCCAATGAATTAACCTATTAGGGATAAAAAATCATAATTTCCTTGTATGAATATATATACTTTACTCGACTCGTTAAAGAAATTAGGTAGCATCATACATAATTATATATAGTTATGTAAAATTATATATCATCATATAAGGAATTATATATAATTTTATATTTTTATATATATATATATATGGTTTTATATGGTTACATGATATTGTATGATTATATATGAAAACTTTTTACCAGATATTTTCGCACGGTGTTCGAAAATCGTCGCTATTGAATGCTCAATAACAGTTAACAGTCTAATAGAGGTTAGTTGAACAATACGGCATTACTATTAATCTTTAATCGGTCGCAGTTTCAAATCGTCTCAGTTTTCATCAAGAAACGCTTGTTTTATACAAAAAACTAATTTCATCGAAAATATTTAACGAAACAGAGCTATTCACTTCGTAGTGTTGCATACATCACCTGTACTTTCATGCATTTTTTCATACTTTTTCACCTTTCGATAACTCAAACTGTATGTCTGTTTTATTTGAAGCGCATAAAGTGTACAGAATGATGGAAACAAATGAATCAAATAATGAATTGAGTAATAATTCACCTAAAGCTGCGCTGGCTGATGTACGAATGCTAAACTTGTCGTAACCGGTTCAGCCGAACTGAGATTGAGATACGGAAATAGCCGAACTGAGATTGAGATACGGAAATAGCCGAACATGACGGACCAATTACAGAACAGCGAGCCAAGTTCGTTTCCCGCGTTTTCCTCACCTGTTGCGTTTGATAGTGTACGCGCCCACAAATTGTTTTGCCTTGCTCGTGAGAAACGCGAAAGTGACAAATTAACGTAATCTGTTATGTGTTGCTAGTGTGACGTATTCTTTGAGAGTGTACCTCGTTAAAGCTGTCGAATTCTCGTTTCACGCGCGTGTGCTTTACTTCGTGCGTGACTTAACCTAGAATTTCATGGCCCGGCAGTATTTCTATGTTGGAAGTGAGATCGATGATTGTTCGTAAAGTACAATGATTTTAACATCGTCATTGTTAAGCTGATATGTCCGGTAAGTATTTCGAATTATTTCACGATTTTATTCAAATCTAGCATTTATATCGTGAACAATCCCCATCAGCTGTCACTGTTATAGTGTTTATATCTGTAAAAACAAATAAACGATGCTTTTCAAATTAATTTTTAATTCTGCAATGCAAATTATATATGATAGTCAAGTTAAAGTAATGCTTTATTCTGGTCATTTACTGGATTTTCTCATGATTCACAGTGGCTTGCTAAATTGTGCGCACCATTATTCACTGTGATACTTGTGAATATCAATGTCATACTTTGCCTGACAATTATATATTTTGTATTGAAGATTTCCCAGTGTAAAGTACTTAAGAATGGAAGATTATCTTTCTGCTGAACTCACAGCCACTTGCGCTGTGCTTGGATATTTCGACGGAACTAACTACCATTTAGACAAGTATTGTTTAGGTAAGATTCATACTTTATATTTTTTTCGGATATGATTTATTTAGGAATAACTAATATTTGACAATGCAATTAACTTGTTAATAGATGTTATAAAAGATCTGATCAGATATCTTAAGAGAGATGACGATACTCATACTATTAGACGTTTCCTTGGTCGATCAAAGTTACTTCAGAAAGATCTTGTAAAAATTCTTATACATCATGTCAGTAATACTGAACTTTGGGATGTATTATTACGGTATGTGTTGGTCTCAATGCATTTTAAAACATGTGCTGATTACAATAATAATACAGGCTTATTTATAATCTTATGTTCTTTTCCCTGAATAGATTAATTATTAATCTAACAAGTCCTGCGTTTGTAATCTTCAATGAACAAATACCGACCGAGAAAACAATGTATAATTTCTATCAACAAATTATTTCATACTTGCATGAATATAAAGCAGCGTTAACTGATGATAGTGTATGGTCAGTAGTAGCTACTCGTTTAGGAAATCTACTTAATATTGTGAGTGAGATACTTCTAACACACACATAGACTCAGTGTAGAGTGAACTATAAAACATTTATTTATTTTATAGGATAATACAGAAAGAGATGAGGAAAATGAGATGACAATTGAGAGGATACTTATTTTAATTAGAAATGTATTGCAAGTGCCATCTTTTGATAATGATAAAAGAACCGGAAATGATGCTACTGTTCATGATGAAGTAAATTGCTATATTAAAATTGAGATACATTTTGCATTCTTTTACATTTAATATATTAAATGTTATCTTAATTAACACAAAGTATTTTCTTTTATAGATATTATTTGCGTATCATACATCAGGTATTGTGGATATATTGTTGTTCATTGTCAGTAACAAGAAAGAGCAGCAGTATCACATGCAAATCTTAGAGGTATATAAACATAAAATATGAATAATTTATATAAATTCTTTTATTACTTTTACGTATTTGGATATAATTTCCGTGAAAATAATTTGAAATAATTTATTATTCATAAATAATGACAGTGCTTTCACATTTGGATAGATTATATCTCTGATGTTGCGTGAGCAAAATGCAAGACAGTTAGCTGCATCTGAGTTGCAACGTAGCACCGCTGAAAAAGAGAACGATGAGGCTACACTTGTAGCTTTGCTGGAAAAGGAACAGAACGAAAAGACGAACAAGATGAAAAAATATGCCGGATCCAGGTAGGTTTATACAATATATATTAATCAGATTATTTATAATTATAATGAGAACGCGTTACGTCGCACTCACGTTATGCTGCTATTGCTCAAACTAAAAAAAAAAAATTGTTTTTATACGAATCATCTTTACAAAATTTAAAACAATGTCAGTTTAGTGAATACGATATTTATGAATATAGAAAATGATCGTTAAAAGTGAATAGAGAATTTACGTGAATCGTATAAAATTTTACTCGGACATTTTATTCGAATACTCGAAAGAATGCAATTAAAACGGCTCTTCAGACACGCGCACAATCAATAGACTTATTCGGTATTCAGGACACGGCAAACTGTCGTCTATGCTTCATTCGGTTTTATCTATACGTTAATCGTATATCCGTGCGTTTTTATCGTGAAACATGGTAAAATGCACTCTCACCAATAGGTGGCTACCGCATAATTACTGCTCTAATGAGAGGCTATAGTTAAAAGCCCGTGATCGTAAAAATGGGATAGCTAAAAGGCGTTGATTGCTACTTGACGGATACCTTAGGGGGTTTTGCGGCTTGCTCGCGATGCTATACGCGTGTAATGAATATGACCTAGTTTTTAAGACAGGACCGCCCGAAGCATGAATAAAAGCTTTTATCCACTTGTTGGAAGGAAGCGAGCCGTATTCTTGTAACGAGCGCGTTCGAAGTCCCGGGTGCGCGCGGTTGCGTCTTTGCGCGAAAGGCTTTTTACGACTTGAAAGGGACTGGAAGTGCGCGATGAAAAGATCCTCCGCCTCCTTCGTGTTTCTTATCGATCGATGGAAAGATAATTTGATCGGAAAACGATAAAGCAGCCCGTAGCTATGTCACGAGCAGATCTCTCTTTGATAGCAACGGTAAACATAGTAACAAAATTGGACGTATATCCAAACCTCGCGCGTCATAATCCTTGCGCTACGTTTTCAAATTATTCTACATTTATCGTATTATTTGCATTATTCTCGTTTCATTGTATATAAGTTTATCGTTGAAATTATTTTATGTGGGTTTTCTGGTTTATTTAAATTAACATTGCTGCTTTGGAAAACTTGAATGTATTGTCCCCGGATACATATCGCGATGATTAAAGACCGGCGAACGTAAATTTTATAAATTGCTATCCACTTTAATTTTATCCGCGGCACGGTTATCATACTTTGACATATTTTGGGAAGTTAACCGTCTGTTTAAAAAATATTTGGAGAGAGATGATGGAATCGAGTTTCTCGCGAAAAAGTAGAAGGAGTAGTAGGGGTGGGTCTTCGCGTCTTCGTCATTTAGGAAACTATCTGCCGGTGACAGCTGCCTTCTATCCCGTTGATTGGATCTTCGGGAGTCATGGATGAAATTGGATTTGAATGATCAATTCCTTTTTTTTTAGTAGCGAGAAAGTACGTTTTCCTCGCTTCTCAATTTATGCGCATGCAGAGGAAAAATACGAAATTTTAAGATTTTCAATATGTTTGGTTCGAAATATATTGTTCTCCCGATACCCCATGTCATACCATAAGATTAGTTATCTTACATTTGTATTTTCCGTACATGTCTTTGCTTTGAAATCAATCGTGTGGTTTCTCTAGTTATTTTCTCATTATTATTTTCTCATTAAATATGTAGACACTCACAATTTGGCGGTACTTACGTTGTGCAAAATATGAAAGCCATCGGAGAAAATCAAATGATATGCCACAAACCATATCAGAAGATTGAAGCCTTGGAATTTGGTCACAACAAGGTGAATTTTGCAAACACGTGAGCAAAGAAAATTTTATTACAACGTTTTTCTAGAAAACATGTTTTTTCTATGTAACAGAAAAGGGTAAAGAAACGCAAGGACAAAATAGGCCCGCAGGAAACTAAAGAAGAACGTATGTCTGTTCTTAGCGTGCGACTTTTCCTCAAAGAATTTTGTGTAGAGTTCCTAAGTGGGGCTTACAATCCCGTGATGAAATTCGGCAGGTCTTGCATCATCAATGGCGACGTACCTGACACTGTTTCTTATCTGTGGGCCTTGCGTTTCTTCATGGAGTTCAATCGCCATTATAAGTTCGAAGTGAAATATGTGAGGTAAATTTTCGCACTTTGGTTCTCTCATAGCAAACTCCACATGGTCGCCGCTCGCATATCCCCTCTAAAGAAGCAGAAAGCGAGACAGTTTCCGAACTCGTTTTACGCATCGCCGCTTTCTTTTAGCTCTCGTCTAGGGAGAATATTTTGCAGCGTCTGCGTACTGAGCGAACCATCAAACTTTATATAAAATAATGTTTAAGTTCATTGTACAAATTGTTTGTGAATGATTGTTGATCATTGCGCAGTTCTAAAAAAACATTCATATTAAGACTATTTAATCGTCATCATGATGTATCATTTTTGGTAGATAATAGATATTTAGTTTTGTTCGTATTAAAAACTATTGCAAGTCTTGCAAAGTTATGCTAGATGGTTCGTTCTGAATATTCATACACATCACATTTATTCATTTTATTTAGTACTATATTTGTTCACGATTAAATTTTAACGACTAACTATTCCATTTCAGTGTTTATTTTATATGAAACTGTATCGTGAGTTATATAAATTGGAATATATTATTAATTCTGTATTATTTATCGATTTCTCGACAGCGAAACTATATCCACGGAAATATTCCATTTAGTACAAAGACAAATAGACCAATATTATGAGATGATTCTTACTGACAAAAAGAGAATACCAATTTGGTCTCGTAGATTGCACATAGCATTGAAAGCGTATCAAGTAAGTATCTATATGGTAGTAAGTTTCAAATTCTAATGTTGAGAGAATTTGGCAAAAAATGTTTACGTCGCGTTTTAGGAACTTCTTAACACTTTAATGGCAATGGATAAGAGTACGTTTTACGGTGTTAGAGAGTCCAGCAAAATAATTAAAAGCAACATTTTTTATGTTCCGGAATATCGTGAAACGATATTTTTGCAGTTTTTATACTATGACGAGAATAAGATGTCACGGTGAGTAAACAAAATTTGATCATTGTAATTATTATCGTATAAAATAAATTACGTAGTCTGATTATTATAATTTCCTTTCTTTCCTTTTAAAACAATATACGCGGTTATGAACATTTTAGGACGAAATTAACAATTTAATTAAGCGATTCAGTTATGCATTATAGTCTATGTAAGTAATATAATAATATTGGCGATCAAAAAACTGACAAACTCAGATTTAATATTCAATTCGTTACTGATATTACCGCGTTCCGCAAAACACGTTCGCTCAGACTCAACACGCGAAATTTCATCATAAATTATGGCAATTAGAATTTGCAATGGCAATCAAAGCGCCAACATTGCAATACTGAGCACGGGAAATAAATTAAATTAGACAGTTGATTATATTAGATAGTTGATGTGCTTCTCGTTTTTTCGCGTTTAGTCGCGATCATCGTTTCTATGATTCGGTGGCGTAAGTCGCGAATTTTCAACAGGCTGTAACACAACGCGGTATCGCGAAAAGTTATGCGACGCGTCGTCCTACACCGAACAATCGTCTATACCGGGCGGACCGCGTCGTGAAGAGGGAGAACTCTTTACCGAAAGTTTTATCTACCGCAGACAGATTGATTCACTTTCGGATCAATCGGTTCGACCAGCCAGGAAGCCACTCCGGCTCCCTCCGACGCGTTCCTTCTCGACTATTTCTCTTCTTCGGTCTCGCTAGCGCAAACCCGCCCGGTTTCTTCTCCCTTCTACGTTCCTCAGCGGAATAAACAACTTTTATCGACCTTCCGGCCGGCGAAATGGGAAAAGGCGGTGGGCGTTCAACTTGCCACGAGTTTGACGGGTTTTGCGCGGATTTCCACGACGGAAATGTAAGGGCGGCGCGACGCGACGCGACGCACCGCAATGCCGTTGCTACTTTGACGTTTCGGCGACGCTGACGAAAACAGTACGACGGCTTCGTTAAACTTTGGTTGGTGGTAGTAACGCCAACGGAACTAAATTGACAAATTAATGCACGTGCCGCGAGATTGAATTAACTTCTTGTTACAAGGGAAGCGGGTTCAAGTTCACCGACATCCTTGTGATTATATAGTATGGAACAATGTAACTATGGAGTTAAAGCATATTTATCTTTTAGACTCTACTTGGTGGATCTTGTGACTACTGTTCACATATTTCTGAAAATGCTGGAACATTTCTGCGAGAAGGAGCAACGTCATTTAATAGTTCAAAAAGTGAAGCTCAAGAGGCAGAAGGTCAAAAAACAAAAAAGTAAGATTGCTTTTTTTAAGTGCTAAGTGATATAGAATAAATCCGATATCTTTTTATACGCGCTGAATTGTTCAATTTTGTTAATTTTATCAGAGCCTGCCCCCAAAGATACAACTCCAACTGTTACTTTGGAAGAACGTTGGGACACAATTGGTCCCGAAATAACCGTTGTAATGCAAGGTGGCGCCATACCGGAAGTGATACCGTTTGATGCAACTTTAGAAACGCCTATAGATGATCAGAAGTACGTACCATTATTGTGCTAATTAATTTTTTTATGAACGTTTTTGAAGTGAAACACCGTTGTTTTGAGCGTCTCATGTTTATGCTTTTATTAGAGAGGACGCAATGAAGAGAATTCAGAAATTAATGCGGCAGAAGAACCTGGAACAGGCAGTTGGTCTTCTACGTGCGGCAAGGTAAGACACCTGTTTATTTTGAGAAGCGATTCCGGAAAAATAACTCGTTGTCATGCGCGAGACGGAGAACACGGTGTTTATTCTGAAAATCAGTTGGGCTTGAACCATCGTTGTCATGCAATGTAATAGATAAGAGGTCTTCTCACTGCAAAAGTCTTTGCTCGAGTAAAGTACACGAAATAATTCATTTGTTTTGACGCAGGTTATGTGCAATCTCTTGTCTGTAACGTTATAATTTAACATGCTACGTGCATACGAGAAATTAACACATAAATTTTCATGAAAATCGCGCACACACACAATACTGTTAGCGACAGAAAATTTTCTTTGCGAATTTTTCATAAAGTGATCCGCGCTTCTACTGTGTAACGTTTAATTTTAAATTCTCGCCATTTTTGGTATAATTAAAAGGAAAATCCTTCGTTCCTTTGCTCTTTTATCACATATATTTTTATGGTGGAGTATAGTGCTCGTAGACGGTAATAGATAAGCATCTCAAGCTAAGTCGGACGTTAATTATGGGGGTTGCACGGCTTTGTTCGAGTAAACAAAGGCGTTCATTGTAGTAGGGTTAGAAAGTCAGGAAGAAAGCGGGATTTATTCTCGTAAACCCCGCTGAATTTTTGATCGTTTGTGCCGAAGCGTAAGAGATATACATAAACGGGATAATGACGTGGATGCAAACAACTTTTAATCACGCGATAAAATTACAGAGAGTGTTTGATGAATCTACTATATGACATATCAAATAGGTTACATATAATCTGGTCACACTCTTCATTTTAATAAAAAAAATAAGAAAATAAACTAAAACTGACTTTTAAGATATTTCGAAAAAAGCAACATCGATGAAAGATACGCTATTATTATTATTTTATAGTTTTATTATTAAACATTACCTTATCATAATACAGATAACTCATTAATTAGGCTACTCCCTTATTGATCCGCTCGAAATTTTTTCGGCTTTGTACACCGACCAGTCACACGGCCAATTAACCGGCGAAAAGCCAGGCGTTTGCACTGCCGCAGATATTTACATTACATTAAATCTGAAAGGGATCTGCCGCTCTTGCAACGCGTCAGTATACACCGGTTCACCGAGGTGAACGGGTATCCTACCAACTCTTTGAAGTGTTCCACCTCTAAATGTGCCTATGAGTCGTGTCCCTCCGTCAACTTGTTTCTGCGTTCCACCTCGCCAACCCTTCTGGTTCTAAGGCTTAATCGCCGCCTCGATGCTTTCGTGGGATTCGATATACCTTGCTGATAAACTCGTCGACGTGTAAATAGATTCCTCTATGTATTCTCTTCTTGAAGCTTTTCGCCTTTGTGCTAAACACGGACGTGTACACAGTTTGTGAGCATCTTGAGTTATATTTCTTATACATTGAATGAATCATAATTACTGTGCGAAACCATTAACGTCAAAATTATTCGTCAAAGTTAATCATCTTATGGGGCATTCAACAATTACGTCATGTTAAATTTGGGTAATTTTTATCTCTTCTCCCCTTGCTCCCCTTCACAAAGTATTTGTCCTCTTTTAATATTACGTGACATACGGAATTACTCTTCTCCCCCCCGTCGATATAGAAATAAAAAAAATAATTTATAATCATATTGTGAATAATTATTAGATTGCACGTTACATCTTTTTCTAAAATACAAATAATATTTAGGCAAATAATATCAAATTAATTACTTTATTTTTTAATTTTGAAAATAAAAGTTGTGTTTTTAAGAGAATAAATATTGAAAAATTAACATTTTGATTATTAACGCGTAACTATCAAAATTTAAAAAATGCTCACCAAATATAACCAAATGTGTCACGAATACAAGCAAAATGAGTGACCACGCGTATCCATTATTCACAAGTTATATATATATATATATATATATATATATATATATATANTATATAATACAATGTATATATATATATATATATATATATATATATATACATTGTATTATATAAATACTCATAACATTTCGTGGTAATCGCTATCACTATCTCCCGGGTCCTCTTTGTAACTTTAAAATGACCGTCTTGTCGAGCTCGAGTTTAAAAATGTTAGTGTGCTAAGATACGATTTCACCCGGGGACATGTACTGTTCTAATAATAAATTAATTTTATTAGTTCTGTTAAATTGAAGTGTGTCGTGATAAAACCGCGCTCATGCTCGCGCGCACACACACGCGGAAATAAAAATCCGTTTTATCGCGGCTGTCTCCTCTATTGCGAAGCTATGAAATTATAGTACCCTCCGCGATTTTTCTTTACGCCGGTATCATCGCTGTGAACTACTTTGCGAGATTGTACGTAATATTCCACCGTCCATTTTATGGGCTAATGTTTACTATGGCAAGTACACAATGGAAGTCTGCAGGCAGGATCATGCTGACCTTGTGCACACAATGGTATAAAAGTAGCAGACAGTTGACTACCCTATACATAGACTGCGCTTGGGCGCAGACAATATTATTAATAAGACATTTACGGTAATACGTAGGTACGTAAGGTAAACAATGTAATACCCCTGTTCTCTTCACGTGCGCGTCTTCGTCTCGCAGCTGCGGGTGCAGTGCTTCTAGTAATTGTGTTTCGTTTGCCTGGCAAATACTCCACCGTCTGGCTACCGGTTTTAGCTCCCTAATTTTCCATTCGCGCCGTCTGTAACCCTCTTATCGGCACGGCGACTTTAACATAAGGATTCGGAGACATGGGATAATTGTGGCGAAGAAATCGCGCCGGTTTATAATTTTCTCTCCTCCATCTTTATTACAAGCGTAATGCAGTAACGATTTTGTCGTTTGCAGAGAGAAATCTTTTGTTTGGAGTTTCCCTGCTTACCTCTCTGTATTTATTTTGAGATATTCGTTCATGATTAATACACGGAATCGTCGACGCGCAAAATCCGATTTGTCCGGCGATATCGAAAGTAAGATATGGATTATTCCGAAGACAATCACGTTGATTTGTGCATGCAATTAGTAGAATGGTAGAGAAAAGAAAATAAAGATGTTCATGCGCAACTCTTGAAGCTACTGAAGAAGCGTGACGCTTTGCGTACGTCCCTAAAAGCTCCTTTCTGTGACATCTTAATATCCGGTTCCGAAGGGTGACTCATCATTTTGATTCTCCTTTGCCAAACACGAAAATGGACGTGTCGAAATTATCCATTTCATGTCTGGCAAAGCGGTATCGGCTTGTATGTCGGAACGTTGAGTCGCGGGGAGACGAACGAGCACGGCGCGTCTGAGAGATTCCATTGTCGCGGGACTTCAAATCGAGGGATAATGGGGATTGTATGCTGCTGAATTTCTATTCAGGCAGCCAGCAGCCAGCAGCGTTGTACGAGCCACTTCTTCCGCTCCGGGGACAGCGCCCTTCCTCTTCTTCTGGCGTTCTCCCCCTTGCGACTGCTTATTGGATTCATCTCCAGTGGGGAGAATTTCGGAAAGCTTTCGAAAGTGGACCAGACGTCTCTGACCAGCGATTCCAGAACGCGCTATCGCCCGAATCGCGACTAATACGTGAATCGTTGAAGTCAATTTTTTCTTAAAGTGGGATTTTTTTTCCAAGTTATAGATAACTGAGAATAAAGTTCTTTTCGCGGATTAAACTTCGCCAGCGCAAGTGAATTACAAAAAGAATTGCTTAACAAAGCAAAGTTCGTATATTAAGATCGAAGAGGATAAAAGAACGCTCGATTCCTTTTTTCGTATAAAAAGCTTTAGTTTAATTTTTCGAATGAACGTTGTTTCTCATTTCTTAAATGAACGTTATTTGAACAAAATGTTTGAAATCGAGATTTGATTATTAGGGATCATTCAACAATTACGTCATCAATCACGAGGGAAAAGGGGAGTCTATTAGCTTGCGTGCAAGAAGACTGTGCAGGATGAGTAAAGGCCATAGAACGTCACATTAAGCCCTCGATGCACAGTACTTATTTTCGTGCTGAATTTAAAGAAATTTAATAACAATGTGGAGGCGAAGAGGAGGAATTCCACATATCACGTAATATTTAAGGGGGGTTCAAATATTTTGTGACGAAAAAGGGGAGGGTGAAAAAAACTCAAATTTCGCGTGACGTAATTGTTGAATGACCCCTTGGATATAATTTATATATATTTATTTATATATAGTTTGTATATTTAAAAAGAAAGTTGCGGTAAATTAACATTTCTTTCTCGACATTCTCTTCTATGACGATTTTCCAAATTTAAGTGGGGAATTCGCTCTTAACGTTTTATATGCTAGTTGTGCGACTCGCCCTGCGGATACTGTATGGATTACGTCTCTGTTCCACGTGTAAACGGGACGGATCATGTCCGGACTTGGTTCCAACCAGAGTCGTATATTGTAAAACGTACGGATGTGTGTCGCGGGTGTACGCATAAAATGAAACACATCGTACGTACGTGTTTCTGTTAAAACGAGCCATACGTTTCGCTTTTATATGGTAGAATCGTAACTAAGTGCGATTTCATGTCAAGTGACCAAATCCAATTCTCGGATTTTAATTCGTCTCCGCCGCTGTTAGGAGGGAGTAAAGTAGGAACGATTTTCATTATCAATCGTGTGTTGCGCGGCTGCAGAGCACAGTAGCAAGGATTTTCATCGTTATTTCTGCTTCCACGACTAAGAGCCACGATTTTACCGTAAAAATATCAAGAAGTTCTTCCTCCTTAGCATTATAACTTTTATCGCGTTTTTTACACTTCGTGATTTTTCGGTTCATTCAAATTTGAATATTATATGTATTACGCGATCAATCATCCGCAATATTAGAATTTTTTATATTAAAGTTTTTTGGTAGCTTTTAAGTTAAGAATCTGTATAAAAGACGCGATAGAAAAATGTTTAAATATGAATATTATAGTGTCTATAGATTTATATTTAAAAATGAAATTTATACATTAAAAACGGAACAAGGATGTATATATTAATTGGAATTTACATTTAACTTAAGAAACAATTTTTTTTGATAATTTCTACTTTTAGTGAAATTTTATGAAAAGCTGCTTCTAATATTCTTTTCAGTGAAAATTTATAGCAGATATAATTATAGGAAAATTGTTTGAAAAGTATTTTGCCATATAATATAAAGTTAAAATATAAAGTTATAAATTTTACACCATTAGCTACTCTTTTCCGATGCGTTCCAGAAGACGTGACTTTACCTTCGTTCACCAGTCACGTTCGCGCACGACTATCTCTTATTTTTTTTTCTTAATCCTCATCAAAGTATACAGGAAGTATTCTAGATCTAGTAAGCTACCTTTCATATACGGATTTGATATATTTCTTTCTTTTTAATAATAACATCGAATGAACAATAATTTATAAGTTCGAGGCGCTTAGAAATCGACGTTGAGATATAAAACATAAGTCTTGTACATCTCGTTTTGTAAAAAGAAACCCCCCAATCGAATTTTGTGAAAACAATATTCAGTTAAAGCAATTCAGCAAATTTAATGAAATTGAAATAGATCCACGTTATTATTATGGTGATCGAAATTTCTTCTTTTCTTTCTGTCGTCTCTTTTTTATCTTTTCGAACAGTTTGCTATCTCTTTGACTATGACACTTTCCACCTCGTAATTTTAAGATACAGGTACTCTGCAAAGGAGATGCATGTATGCCGACATCACTGGCAGGCGAGCAAAGATAGGGTGTGACGAAGAATGAGGGTTGGGTGTGAGCACTTGACGCAAGGAGTCCGATGTTGACGTAGGTCGTGGTGAAACTCTTGTACTCAAAGGAGTCGTCTACGAGATCTATTGAGTTTGTCACTCGCACTTCTTCTTGCCGTGCCTCTCTCTGACTACGTCGCACTCGAATGAATCTTTCTCATTTGTGTGATTCGTGATAATAAATGTTTGCTTTATTTAATTATTTTAGTCTTTTTAATAAAGCGCAGAAAGTCATTATGTCATTTATTATTAAAAAGTTGTCGGATAATATCGTTACGTATCATCGCCATGATATCGCACTTCGAGAAGGAGTTTGTTACAACTCGGAAGAATTGCTGAGAGAAGACTGTAATAAGAGTATAACAAGTACTCTTGGAAATTAAAATCATATAAATTTTGATTTAATTTATTGTTTGAACGAATGATATTTATATCATCATGTCATGTTATAGGATAAGTTTATATCTACTAATAAATGTAACATTTTAACAGTTACTTTATTTGAATTTGTTTAGAGAAATCTGGCCTGAGAATGACTGCTTTGGTAGAGCAAACATACCTCCCGAGGAAGAGTTTCTGGCTCTGCGTGAGATCTTCTTTACAGATCTGGGCGGTGAGTCATATTTTTCAAACATTTTTTTTCTATTTTACATTATAGAAATTAACATTCAACCGTTTTCCTCGATATTATTCTTCAAACCATTGGAATGACATACACGGTAGGATTGGTCGATTTAAAAGTGAAATATCACATATCGACAATCTTCGATATATAGCTTGTCTCGGAAATAAAGTTCAAATTTGGTACTTTCGAATCATAGGTCGTTAGCACTTTTTACTTTCCCCAAGGATCGCCTGTGCAACTTCGGCGTCTCTATCAGGAAACTTATTTTCTTTTTGCATACATAACCCCGTGAGAAAAGAGTAGTTCCTTCTTTGAGTCCGCCTAATTATAATGAGAGCAAAGTCCGTTATTAGGTTAAAGCATGAAAGTAATGAGCTGTTTTCCTTCCTTTGCGAAGGAGTTCGTTACGACTGCTGATGCGTTAAATTATGATGTTTACTTAAACATTTTGGAAGAGGAACGTGGGCGTATACAAAGCACTGGGCAGTAGAACTACGTAACTCTTTTTTGTTTTAGAAGCAACGAAGAAGGGGAATGTATAAAGCACATGATTTTATTCTGGGTGCATTCCCCTTATAGAGGGGATTGTGTCAGAGGGGAGTTGCGATTTGTAATAACTGGCGCATATATCACGACACAAATTTAATTAAACGTGCCGTTGGTATTCATTTCACGCGCCTAATTTATGTGTGAATAACTACGCTATTCAGTGCCGAGATTTCACGACGATCCGGTGCCCGCTACGTATTTACCTCTGTTTATTACCAGTACAATAATAGCTGTTAGCAACGTCCTAAATCTTTTAATTTTAATTTTCACGTTACGATTTTATAGACAGAAACAATTTACTTTAATGAAAAAAAGTAATCATTGTGTTACGTTCCCGCGGTAAAATTTCTCTTTGTGTACAATTTAAAACACTTCAATTTACGAAAGCTTCTATTTTTATGGGATATTTTATGCATTTTATTACGGTGCGTAACAAAATGCGACGCATCAATTAAGCGAGCAAACGGTGGTTCTAGAAACAAGTAGCGATTTTAATTTTGTTTAAAATAGATTTTAAGTTTTAGATATTATATATAGGTTATGTATATAGATTATACATATATAGAGACAAAGATTTTAGATTTAAAATTAATAGAGAATTTCCAATGAAATTCCAATTCTGCGGCCGAGATATATATTTTTTAATATTCTTTCCTAAAATTAATTATTTCTAAAATCTCCACTTTGTAAGCACCATTGTGTATCGAATTGTTAGTTAGGCATCTGTTCATCGTCTTGTTACACGGCTGGTGGGTACGCGTTCAACTTCCTTCCGTCGCGCGTTTATTCTTCGCCACGAATGTCGGCGTAATAAAGAACATTTACGATCATATGAATTACAATCCGTTGCACTGAATCCCAGAGCTCAGGACATGACAACATTGCCGTGTGCGACCCGTTATATAGATGGCAGTGGGCTGACAAAGTCGTTAAATGTTAATCTCTCTTTTATATCCTGCCAACGTGTGCCGTAGTCGTCACGTAGTGTAGTCACCCAGAGGGGATGTTTTATATAAAACATCCGCGCTTGACATATCCAGACTGCTTTATTTTACGACGTGAGTAGTCTGAAACGTTCCTCCATTATCTCTATTAGGCATGGGAATTTCGCACGCGAACTTTCAGTTAATCGGTACCCTTATTATATTTATTTTTTTACATAGCATGAGGATTTTTAATTATTTGCAAGAAACCTCGTATTTTATTTAATTTTGAATAGATTTGAAAATTAATTGTACGAATGTATATATGTGTGTGTGTGTTTAACATAAAAAATTTAAAATTCGCGACGAATAGCGAACTTGATATTTTTGCTACAGAAAAATTAGAACTTTAAATTAGAGTCCACAGACGAAAGCTTGCTTTATGTGTTTATTTTGTCACTTATAATTTATGATTGACAAAATTTTCGCGTTCGCTTTTGCAGTGACAATAATGTACGGAAACATGAAAAATTAGAGGGATGAAGGTAACCATCCGCGAATAAGACCAAGCTTTTGCATCCCGTTCAGTGCGCGTATGGATTTTACATGGGGAGGGCGGTAGCATCGGTCGCTACCGCATTGGTTTCGTCGATCGAAGTTGTTTTTCCGCTTCAGCGACGTTCGCACACACTTTACGCGTCCGAATGGCTGTATTTTGCGACTTGGCCACATACCGATGGTTTTGCATACGCTGTACATAATGGAGTATCTGTTTCGCGTTGATAAAGCACACCGCGGAAATTGGCGGCTGCTTCGTGAGGCAAGCTTTTTCTAGCTCATACTTCGTTTACGTTGGGTAAACCCGAGTTCTCGAGAGCACGTTTGGCCTATGCGATAGATCTCTGCGGAATCGTCATTGTTCCATGGTTAGCATTGTTATCGTAACTTTTCAGAACTGCGGAATTAGTACCTCGAAATGCGAAATTTTATAAAAATTCGCAGAGCATTCTTTTGTCCATCTATTTCTTGTTTGTCCGCTAAACAAAAATGAATTATTAACAAACAAACACAAGAAAGTAAACCATGACCGTTATGAGTAGTTTGTCTATTTACGTTTGTCTACCGTTATGAGTAGTTTGTCTATTTACGTTTATTTGTTAATAGCTCGTTTTTGGTGGACAAACAAGAATTATGAATGAACAAACGTGGGGCAAATCGTGGACAAAAGAGTGCTCCGTGAATTTTGAACTTTAAAAATTCACGACTTTTCAAACTTGACTTTTCGCTGTGCGTGCCTCGTCACCGGTAACTATAATTTGAGAGGATTCACTTTTCGCTGAAATATAATTCCTCTCTTTTGAATTTTGTAAATTATTCGGAGGAAAACAATGGTAATTGAAAGTTTTTATCGCTGTATTGTGGAACTTATTGAGCCAACTGAATGCTCTTTGAATTAAAACGTTTCCCGAGCTCGTTAATGATTTCGGTGGGCAGCCTCGAGTAGAAAGGAGGTCGAAAGAGGCAAACGATTATTTGTCACCCCTGACAAGGATACTTCAACAACAGCGTTTATAAATAATCACGATCGATATCGAGGAGGTTCCGCGGCACATACCGGAAGGTTTTATTTATTCATGTCTGTCTACGAGTGGAAGGGCACTGCTGCTATGTATAAAGTATACGTTTCATCGACTTCCTCGGCCAGAAGTATGAGAGCAGGGAGTGAAGGAAGATGTGCTGTACTTCGGTACGATTTTTCTCTTCTCTCCGCTCGATTCTAACTTGTTAGACCGAATGGGTGATGGATGTTCACGAGAAACCAATCCATGTGTTCTTTTCTCCTCTCGAAAGTCGAAGGTTTGATGAATGAAGGTCAAATTGAAAAGTCTTGCCGGAACGGTGAAGCGCAGCGACGAAATTTGCATACTACGTCGTGCGAGCGATCCCTTCTATACGTCTGCTCAATTTGTATACATTTGGTTAACTGACGCGCACGTTTCGCCAGGATTCTGAACTTTCTTCTTACGTGTCGTCGCATTTATATCTCTCTTCGGTGTTATCGTCGTAAAATTTTTAACGTTCACTTTTGTGATAAGTAAATGTTGAATTTCCGATATTCCTGACTTTATGCCCGTGTGATGGAAGGGATATATATATGTTGTTGTGAAACCTTCGTCACTGATGTGCAAATTTGCACGATTTCTCAGTTTCCACGCACAAACACTCTGGCGTTTCTATAAATTTTCTTCTATCCCTCGCGTCGCGTCGATCCTGCATTGCCATAATAACTTTTCCTATTTACCATAATGCACAAGAAAATCATCTTTGACATTTTCTGGAGGAGTACGGTGTACCTAAAATACGTAGATTGGCGGCGCCGGATTCCGGCTGCATGTCGAGGAAGTGGAGAAGTGGCTTCGAGAGGTATGAGAGAACTTTTATCGGAGTGGAAACTTCGTCTTCCTTCCAAGTGGCGTGAAGCCATAGAAACGAACGAGAATTATTTAGTACAAGACGTAAAGTAAACAACAGATGTACTACCAACATTTGTTCCGAGTTTTACCTTTCTTCTTTCTCATACAACTTCTGAGGAGATTCCCTGATAATTCGTCTTTTTTACGTTTAACAAAATGGAGATCGACAAAAATATGCATCGTTTGTATTCACTTTGCACTTTGAAATATCGCATTGATCAAAATCAACATGCACGGTAGGATTAGCGTTTAGGGTGGAAATCCTTTCAATCCTTTTTAATGTGGTAAGCCGAGAGTGGGAGATTTGACTAAATCTCTTGTCTTTTTTTTTGTTTTTTTTTTTTAGTTGTTTCAGTTGTGTGGTATTATCCTTTTCATTTCGCCACGACAACGTGGATGAACAACAATCAGATCGAATCGGCGTTCCAGGGGATTTGAAATAAAACGACGACGGAAATTTACATCCTGTACTCGTTCGAGCGATTGCTACCATATGTTTGCATTCTCGTAGCGTCCTTTCTCCTCCCCCGAACATCGGATCTTGAGGTAATTTGACCAAAATAGGACATGCGATGTCTTCTGTCCTCCGATCAAATTGCGATGCGCCGTGTTGCACCTTTTACGTTTTCAAAAGAAGCCAATTCGACGATGTCTGTTATTGGATGTGTTGATTTTCCACGAGACTTCATTTTTCTATGTTTTCAAAAATATACTTTTGCTGTTTTTGCAAATAATGCGTCAGCCTTCTTCAAAATCAGAAACTTTCTTCTCGTAAAGTACAGAAAATATATTTTTGTTTCATTTCTTTCTTCTTTAACTCTGTTATTGTATCGGATCCAAATTTAAATCTTCATTAACGTTTACACACTTGCTCTCTCTTTGGCTTTACAACTTCTTCCTTCTTCCTATCTAAATCCTATTAAAATTTTCAACTTCAATGAAAAGATAATAAGTAAGAGATTATGAAAACAGGAAGTTTGTTATGTTCTTTACCTATATCAATCATTTAATATTTCCTTATCGCATTTCCTATCTGCAGTTG